TGGCCGATGATTTTTGTGTTGCTCCAATCAAACTGGTACTGTTTGGTGTAGGTGTGAGTGGAGATTAAGGATTTGGGACCGTGGCATTTGACTGCTAACCAGTATTTGTGAATCCTGATTTTAATTGGCATGATGTTTGTCCCATGCAGAATTGGGGGAAAGACATATTGGGAAAATGTGACCCTTGAATTTGATCACTGGTTTTTTTTTGTCTTGCAGTTTCCTTTGTCGTGGGATCGTTGTAGATTCTCAAAATCGCTTGGCAGCATTTGAACTCGACACCGAGGCTAGAGTTCAGTTCATGGCAGATCAGGCCCGCTTCTTCCTGGTAAGTCTTACAAGGAGAGCTTTCACAGCAGAGGCAGCTATCGGACACAAGCTTGAGCATCTTAAAATTAGGATGGTTTAAACCAGGGGTAGGCCACCCTGGCTCTTTTATGACTCGTGGACTTCAACTCCCAGAATTCCTGAGCCAGCCATGGCTCAGCTTGGAAACCTCTCCCTTTCCCCTCAGCAAGGCTGGCTCAGGAATTCTGGGAGTTGAAGTCCACGAGTCATAAAAGAGCCAAGGTTGCCTACCCCTGGTTTAAACTATTTCCTGCGTGGGAGGGGTGAGCAGAGAAGAGTTGGAACTGAAAAAATTCTTTTCGACCCAGTCAAGGCCCAGAAGAGGCAAGACAGATTTTTGTTCTTTAAAAAAAAACTTTTTTATTGATTTATCAAAATATAAAATACAAAGAGAAATTCAAAAAGTAATAGAAAACTAGGAGGAGGGAGAGGAAGAAGAAAAATAAATGGTATAAAGAGGGGGGAGAAAAGAAACAGGCACCAACTTCCGACTCTCTTTAGCACAGATTTTAGATTTTTGCTGTTGAGAAGCAGATAGGAGGCAAATAAAACATTTTGCAGAAGTTGTCAAATTCCAAAGATCCAATTCCAAAATTCCTGTGTTGCTTACTATTGTCGCCCTAACCAGGATGAGTTTCTATACAGGCAGTCCTTGACTTACATCCATTCATTTACAACTGTTCAAAGTTGCAACAGCACTGAAAAAAAGTGACTTATGACTTGGCTGGATGTTAGGCAATAATTGTTGTCAACAGAAGTAGGCTTGCTCACAAGGACTGCGAACTGTCTTGTTCACCGTTCTTGTGAACTGAGAGATTGCACTTCCACAAAATAATTGAAAGGAGAGGCAGGCAATGACCATTTACAGTTATAATGGTAATGAAAGGGTAACTGAAAAATTCTGAGAGTTGAAGTCCAGAGGTCATAAAGGGGCTATAGTCCCCCACACCTGTTTTATGCGGTCAACCTCATCTCTACAGAAGCGACTTGATTTTTGTGACTGACGAAAAGCATGAATCCTCTTCTCCTTCCCATCCTTTTCCTTTCTCCCCTGTCTTCAGCACAAGGTGTACTTGGTCCCATATGAGCAATTCACTGTGGAGTTTTTGGAGCCAAAGGTCCATTGCATCAGTGCCCATGGAACATTATCGCTGAACAGGTACATCATGTTTATTTTATTTGGTTCATTTTCATGTAATTTTTATGGCCACCCCACTTGCAAATTGCAACTCTTGAGTGTCTAGCCTAGGATTAAAAAGACAAAACAGATAAGCAATGAACAGCTTGTTTACAAAATATGAGAACTAATGAGGACTGTGCGTGCTTAATTGTAGAAATGCCACATAAAACATCTTCTAAGTATGTGTTTAAAATCATTGTGATGTCTGGTATGTTGTCTGAGTTTCCTATTTGATGTTCTCTAAGCTGCTCTTTGTTTGAAGTGATGTAGGGTCTCCTGCTTGAGCAGGAGATTGGACTAGAAGATCCACATCCAATTCTGGTATTCTGTTGTTTTATTTTGATAAGAAACTGTAAAATGGTTGATTGGTTAATTTCACATAGTCCTCAACTTACGACCATTTATTTAGTGACTGTTCAAAGTTATGACAGTGCTGAAAAGAGGGACTTACAACTGGTCCTCAGAGTTGTGACCGTTGCTGCGTCCTCACCATGGTGAATGTTAAATGGAAAGGATTGTGGTTGAGGTAGGAATGCTCTATGGTGCCATCTTTGGTAGATTTATTTATTTGCCATGTTTTAAAAAAACACTCTTCTCCTTACACGGAGTGACTAGGGCAGGGGTGGGCAACCTTGGCTCTTTTATGACTCGTGGACTTCAACTCCCAGAATTCCTGAGCCAGCATGGCTCAGCTTGGAAACCTCTCCCTTTCCCCTCAGCATGGCTGGCTCAGGAATTCTGGGAGTTGAAGTCCACGAGTCATAAAAGAGCCAAGGATGCCTACCCCTGGACTAGGGCAAATGGTCCTTCCCTCCCTCCCTCCCCCCCCTTCCAAGTATAAATGGAAGGATTTATACTTCCCCACCATCCAGTCAGAGCTGAAGAATCTTCTTGGAGGAGAAATGAAACATCTTCAAAGAAAAAAAAAAAGAAGGTCCAGTTGCCTTGTGAAAAAGCACCTTTGGAATAACTAGGACCTGGATGGCTGAGAATCTCCACAGACAACAACTGCAGTGATTCATTTAACAACCGAGGCAAGAAAAGTCGTAAAATGGAGCAAAATTCAGTTAACAACTATCTTGTCTGAGAAAATTGTTGGGCTAAATTGTGGTCATAAATTGAGGACTCCCTATATTGTTTCAACCTTGGAACCAAACAAAGCATTCAAATTGTTTTAGGCAGAGGAGAGGATGTGAATTCATCACAATCCTCATGTTCCCTTGTTTTGCGTCTCCGTGCCAGAAGGCTATTGTACAAATGGACTTGATTACAGTTAAATGGGGCAGACGAAAGAGCATCCGTAGATAGAAGATCAAAAGAATCATAATGAAAGTGCCCTTAGTAAAGTCAAGCCTCCATTCTTTGCTTTGCATTATAGTTACTCTCAATATTCGTTTGATGTCAATGTCTTGATAGAATGGCAGGCTTTTTTCTCGACTGTAGAATTCCTATTATTCTTTTTTTTTTGCCCACAGTAGTTCCTGCGTCCCATCAAGATATCAGAAGATTTCACAGTCAGTTGTCCTGGAAGAAGGACAGTCGCTACCCATAGCTCCAGACTTGCCCCTAATTCATGCCATTGGCATCCCGCCAGAAGGCGGTCTGCCAGCTTCTGCACCGCAGCCTCCAACTTTGATTGACACGTCTGCAAAACTCATTTTCTTAAGGGTGCCTCAGGTAACTATGGTTTGGGACACTCAGCTGAGGTGTGGAGAGGTCATACTTTTGTTGAAAGTTTGATTTGTTTTGGGGGGTTTTTTTTAGTAACTTTTTTAGTAATTGTCTAATTTTACTTTTCATTCTTGAAGTTTGCTATGGGACTAAACATGATGTAACTCAGGTGGGTTCTCCCACTGCCGGAAGAGTGGAGGCAGCTGCTAACAGTGTGTTAAAAGTGTGTCCCACTTTTTTAGAGTGAAGTTTCACAAGTGCAGTATAAAGCAATGCAATCCCTGGCTAGCTATAGGAAGCAACCTAAGGAGAAATTTCCTGACAGTTAGAACAATTAATCAGTGGAACAACCTGCCTCCAGAAGTTGTGAATGCTCCAACACTGGAAGTTTTTAAGAAGAGACTGGGCAGCCATTTGACTGAAATGGTATAGGGCAGTGATGGCGAACCTTTTAGAGACCGAGTGCCCCAAAACTGGGCCCGCCCCCTGCCCCGCCCCCACCCTGCCTGCCCGCAAGGCCACTCACCACCTCCAGGGCCCGCCGCAGATTGCCCAGGCAGCCCAGCAGTGCCATGGTGGCCATGCCCTCTGTCCGCGCCCCGCAGCATCAACTGTGCGCGATGGGGCCTGAGGGCAGAATCTTGTCTATGCTGCTGGCTGCTATGTCCTTGGCTGTGCTGCTCCGCGTAGGCCATGCTTGGGGGCAACTCTCCTCCAGGGGGACTGCTGGTGAGGAAGGGGTCACAGGGGGAGGCAAGGCTGGGGCAACGGCACGTGTGCCCACAGAGAGGGCTCCGAGTGCCACCTCTGGCACACGTGCCATAGGTTCGCCACCACTGGTATAGGGCTTCCTGCCAGAGCATGGGGTTGGATTAGATGACCTCCAAGGTCCCTTCCAACATCATCATCATCACCACTATTATCATTATTATTATCATTATTATTATCTCATTCCTCTTTCTAAGCAGTTGGCAAGAAGCAGGGATGGGTGATCTTCATGTCATTTTCTCACTGAACTGAGAAGCAAAATTTCCGGTCATGGCGTGGGTCTGCCAAAATGAATGGCTCATTACTTATAAAACCAATAGCTGGAGAAAATAGGAAAAGAGCTTATAAGCACTGGATCTCACCTTTTACAAATCTTCATAGGCATAGGGATGCTGAAGGTGAGCACAAAATAAATGGTAAATTCTCTGATGGATGAGAACTGATGATGCCGGAGAATTCCTGAAAGCCTGGCACTCAGACAAATCAGCCATCAGCAGGCACATAGAGATAAACAACATCTACATACCATTCAAAAGAGACAATGGAAAAGCCACAAAAGAAACACAAAGACCAAATCACCTCTCCACCAGCAATCGGCACTCAGATGAGCAGAGATAAACACCCAGATTAACATGTCTATGGAAATTCACAATCATCCAGATAATGGTTGTCCGAAAGTTGCTTTTCCAAAAGGCAACTGCACTTTTCTTGGTTTATCTCCTTGAAAACCGAAGAAGCTTCTTGGAGGAGAAGCGAAACATTTTCAAGGGAAAAAAAATGAAGAAAGTCCAGTTGCCTTTTGGAAATGCACCTTTTGGGACATCCAGATTCACACCAGACCAACAATCAAGAAATAAACAATGTCCCAATCAAGGGTACCAACTCAGACAAAGAAAACAGTAAACAACGGAACCACCAAGATCGCTCCCACCAACACCAATAGGGCAAGCGACGAGTACCGTATATAAACAGTAAACCCCATTCCATTCTAGCACTGATGATGTTTCCTAGTTTGGTAATGAAACGTCTGCAAGAAAATCACTAAGCTTAGAGAACAAAAAGACCCCACAGTTCAATTCTGAGCTAAAAAATATTCCTTTCCAAATGGCAGTATTTCTGATAAAGGAAAGCAACAGCTTTTAGCCCATGTTTCCAGTAACTAATAAAGACATTTTCTGTTTACTAGAGATACCTGCAGGGTAAATATAATACTATCAATTTTTATCCCTATGTCAGTTTCTTGGAAGACCCAATTCTGCCATGAATGCTGAGGCACATAGCCCATTCTGGAACCATAACGGTGACTTGAAATAGAAATTAGTGACACCAAAAGGATAGTCTAGAGATTTTCTTCTTTGCTTTCTTTCAGACAGCTGTTGTGCTAAATGGCCATATTCAGAGTCCAGGACGCTATGCTTTCATCCTGCATTGTTATCAGCCTAGTCACCCAACTTTCCCTGTTGAAGTGTTGATCAACGGAGGGCGAATTTGGCAGGGTGAGTTGCAGGGCGTGGTGTGTCTCTTTTCAGGAGTGCTCAAGCTACATTCAGATGTTGTGGGTACCTGTAATCTAGATGCATACAATCATAGAATGCAAATCAGTGTTTCTCAGCCTTCTCAATTTTAAGACGTGCGGACTTCAACTCCCAGAATTCCCCAGCCAGCATGAGGAATTGAAGTCCACGTATCTTAAAGCTGACAAGGGTGGAAATTGTCCAACCTCTATGGTACCAGATGCAATCCCCCAGCCATACCATGCCTCAATTTAAACAGACCAGAATGAAGTTAAAGATATAAAAAAATGTCCTAAAGCTGATGATATCAGCTTTACTAGTTGCTGCTTAGCTTCCTATAAAAACAGAAGACTTAAAGTGAAATGTTGGCTACTGTAAGGAGATTGTCTGATTGGCAGGGCATTTAAGATGTGGATTTCAGTTCCCATATTTCCCCAGAAAACCATGCTGGCGGGGGAATTCTGGGAATTGAAGTCCACAAGTTTTAAAGTTGCCAAAGTTGGACACCCATGTCCAAAAACAAAATAAATTCAGTTGATTGGAGCAGGATTACTTTCTGACCTTTTTCAGGACAAGCCAATGCCACTTTCTGCCCACATGGATACGGTTGCCGGAGTCTGGTGGTTGCAGAAAACCAAATCGTTCTGGATATCACAGAAAATGATCTGACTGTAATAATCCGTGTGCCAGCAGACCGGCATCTTTGGGTGGTAGGTTCCTGTCTTAAAAATCCTTGCTCTTTCTTTGATGTTCACTCAAACACTTAATCAGATAAGCTAAGCCTGTGTTCTCACCAAGTTAAGACAGACTATCTTTAGATAAAATGCAAAGTTTTAAAGCTGAACTCTGCTCATCTGGTCTCAAGTCACTTAAGGACATAACCAGCATTCCTTCTTTGTGGTTTCCTCTCTTCTTTAAGAGCAGCATGATATAATTTACGGCCACCAGGCAGTGCTGCTCACTATCTAATAAAAGTAGAGCTTGACTTATTTTGTTGCAGGGAATTTTTCTGGCATACGAAATCAGCCAGCTGCCATGGTCTGGATTTCTGTGAACCTGCTTTTCTAGCTTCTCTGCTGGAAATTCAATTTTTCTTAAAGATTAAGCACACAGTGATTAGGAAATGAACCATTGCTCTAGCTATCACAATAAAAGGCGGTCCTTTTCACGAATGGAGGAAAAAATTGTTCCAGTACTTTGGGTTCCAGATGAGTGTGGAGAAAACTTTAGAAAATTCTAGTCTATGGAGATTTTCGGTCATCCAGGTCAGAAAATTTAGAACTTCAGAAAATTCTTACACTGTTTTCTATTCATCTCTTGGAGGTCTGTGCTTCTTAAAAAAAAATCAGGATAAAGTAAACCTCAGTTATGTTCATGGCTCCTCGTTCACCATAAAAATTATGGTTTTTCAATTCTCCATCTTAGCTTCAATCCTTTGTGGGAAGTCAGCCCCCCAGAGAAGGAAATATTAAAAGGGCAGAAAAATATATTTCCTCCGAGGATCTTAAAGAGGCAGGAAAGCATGCCTATGTTTCCTTGATAGCCCCAGGTCTCCATCCCCCAAGCAGAAGCCAGCTCTGTACAAATGCAGATGCAGACCATTCAGAAAAGTTGGAGCTAGAAGCTTAGGAAGACAAAGACATCTAAAATCTGCATACCCCACCCAAACTCTAAGAGTCATTAGCCCCAGCACCAGGAAAGCAGGATATGACCTTTGGGTCATAATAGGATTAACCTACCACCATCAGAATACCAGAAAAGCACTCTCAGACTCTGGTCAAAGTTCATGCCACAGGAACAGGAAGCGACTCCAAACAAAAGGCTTCAGAGGGTATAAAAACCGCCTCCCCACATGTGCTCAGCCCTTTTTCTCTCCTCTTTCCTGCCAGAACCATCTTTTCCTTCAACACTTTTAACTGTGGCATGTCAGAGAAAACTCTTTTTTGGTCATTCAATCTTTTTTTTTCTATCAGAAAACAATCCAAATGATAGATCTACAAAACACACCTAAGTAAAAATTCACACAAGGCAAAGAGCAGCATTTCTATATGAAGTTGGGTTTTTAAAGGAGAAGCCATACGTTTGAATAATTTGACTACTTGGATTTTTTTTTTATATTGTTATTGTAGGATTATATCCTTGTGGTTCCTGAAAGCATTTATGGCTCCAACTATCTTTTGGAAGAACCCCTGGACAAATCCTACGATTTCATCAGCAGCTGTGGAGTCAACGGTTTCTACATCAAGTGAGATTGAAAGTGTCTGGGTTGTTTCAGCTGGAATTTTCTCTTAAGTTTTAGAGCCGATTCCCAACGTTGTTTTGGAGACACCCACTAACAAGCTTTATAGGATCTTCAGATCTTTCCCTGTGAGACCTTCCAAACCAGTTGCATGCAATTCCTTGACCTCCCACAGGCACAAAAATATTTTTAATAGAACTGGGACGATAAGAAATAAGCAATCCCATAGTTAAATTTCCATAGTTGCTCAGGGCTTGATCCTTGCCCGTTCTATCTGGACAGTGATCCAGGGTCAAGTACCTAGGACTGGATTCCTGGATTCTTTGGATTTTCCACTTGCTCTACTAGCAATCTAGACTCAGTATGAATGTCACAGGTTCCCAAGTCTAGATAATATTGCGGTCTGGGATCTCCCCCACATGATGTCTAAATAGTAGTCCAGCTGGAAGTCTGATTGGAGCAAGACCACATTGGAAATCTACCAACCTTTGACTTTACTCCTGCTCTTCTCAGACAGAGCAGAAGTGAATTCTGGCAACAGTGCTGTTTTAAATGTGCAAGCCTGCCAGTATTTCCTTCCTCCAAATATTCTCACATATCTCCTCCCCCACTCCGGCCCACAAGATCAAGCTTGATCCTTTCCTCTTTAAGTGATTGGCTTTATTTATTTATTTGATTCAACGGAGTGCTACTCGGTTGCAAGCCACTCTGAGCATCTTACAGTCCACTAAGCAAGATAAAAAGATTATAATAAGAAAAAACATACAGCCCCCCGCAAAAAAAAACCCTGAATAAAAAACATGATAGATGGCGCAAAATATCCCATTAACATCTAACATTCAGCAGAGGGGTCTCCAGCTAGCCTAGCTCTAGACCTGGGAGAACAGCCAGGTCTTTATGATTCACTGGATGGGAACCATCAGGATGGGAACCATCGGCATCTCAGTGGGAACCTCATTCCTGAGGGCAGATGCTGTGACCATGGAGGTGGGCTACCTGGCCTGTGATAGATGATATGATTTAATCCAATGAATCAGAAGACACTTTTTAATATCATTTTTTAATTGTAAAGAGATGGGCAATTTAGAAATTTGATGATAGATGATAAATAGATAGATAGATAGATAGACAGACAGACAGACAGACAGACAGACAGACAGACAGACAGAGATAGAGAAGAGATAGATATAGATAGATAGGCAGACAATGGATAGATGATAAATAGAGAGATGAAAGAAAGGAAAAAAGAAAAAGAAAAAAGAAAGAAAGAAAAGAAAAAGAAAGAAAGAAAGAAAGAAAGAAAGAAAGAAAGAAAGAAAGAAAGAAAGAAAGAAAGAAAGAAAGAAAGAAAGAGAGAGAGAATGAGTTCTTGTCAGCTCGAACTGGCCAGCCTGACACTACTGAAAATAGGTATCTAATGGCTAGGTCAGTGATGGCGAACCTTTTAGAGACCGAGTGCCCAAACTGCAACCCAAAGCCCACTTACGCATCATCTGGTGCTGGGTGGGTGTGGCCCATTGAGTGGGTGTGACCCATTGGGTGGATATGGCCCATTGGGTGGGCGTGGCTGCAGTCGTAACAGCAGACTGGGTGGGACTAAAAAGTTCAATCAATCAATTCCAACTTTGCAAGATCTTTTTTTTTCCCGCGAGAAGTTGAAATTGACTGATTAATTGAACCTTTTTTTTTTGTACACGGCGGCGGAGGCCTAAAGTGAAAAGGTTTTTATAAAACCCAGCTGAAGGCCTAGGACTGGAGTGACGGCGCGCGTGCCCACAGAGAGGGCTCTGAGTGCCGCCTCTGGCACCCATGCCATAGGTTCGCCACCACTGGGCTAGGTCATTCGATAGGTAAATAAACTCAAATAACTGAGCCTTATAGTATGTATCTAGCTTTCTTATTTCCTAATTCCGGTACCGATTTTATGAGCACATATTTGAGTGTATATCTTACTGTCCTGAAGCATTCTCTGTTTCATTTCTTTCTTTGGTCTAGTTTTTGTGCTTGCAAAAAAACAAACATGTTGTGCAATGGTTCAGGCTCCACATTTTAATTAATAAGTACAATTCGTCTTTACCTTACCAGTAGTAAAATCATTAATAAATAACACTTGTAGACATCGCACTGTGTCGAGACCTGGTGCAAAACTCTTCCTCTCTCTCCGCAGCCCTGTAACTTCATCCAGGTTCTGCCGGGACTCTGCAATCTCAATTTCTCTTTTTTACAACGGGGCCGAACCTTGTCATTGCCATGAGGCTGGCGCTGTTTCAAGCCAGTGTGAGCCATTTGGAGGCCAATGTACATGCAAGTCCAATATCATCGGACGAGAATGTTCCCGCTGTGCCACTGGATATTGGGGTTTTCCCAATTGCCGACGTGAGTATTTGAGCTTATGGGGAGGGAGAGAAATATGTGTGTGTTGGAGAGATAATTTATGTCCTATTAGACCAGGGGTAGGCAACCTTGGCTCTTTTATGACTCGTGGACTTCAACTCCCAGAATTCCTCCCAGAATTCCTGAGCCAGCCATGCTGGCTCAGGAATTCTGGGAGTTGAAGTCCACGAGTCATAAAAGGGCCAAGGTTGCCTACCCCTGTACTAGATAATCACTTAAGTATGAGCCAGCCGTGTGCTGCAGCTGCCAAAAAAGCCAATGCAGTCCTGGGCTGCATTAACAGAGGGATAGAATCAAAATCACATGAAGTGTTAATACTTCTTTATAAAGTCTTGGTAAGACCACACTTGGAATATTGCATCCAGTTTTGGTTGCCTCGGTATAAAAATGATGTTGAGACACTAGAAAGGGTGCACAGAAGAGCCAAAACACGATCTTTGGAACCCATTTTCAGGAGAAATAGCTGGATCTGGAATTAGACAAAGCAGAAATGTCCATGGAACTGTTCCTGGTATTAGAAGGGAATTTCACTCAGAAAAGAGGCAGTTTCACTCAAGATTCAGACATTCTTCTCAAAGTATCTCCTAAGCTAAGGAGACCACTAAAGTCTGCAGAGAAGAGCAACAAAGATGATTAGGGGACTGGAGGCTAAAACACATGAAGAACGGTTGCAGGAATTGGATATGTCTAGTTTAATGAAAAGAAGGACTAGGGTGTGACATGATAGTGTGTTTTCCCCAAAATTAGACCCAACCGGAAAATAAGCCCTGGCACGATTTTTCAGGATGCTCGTAATATAAGCCCCACCCCAAAAATAAGCCCCACTTAAGATCATCAGTCAGACAGATGGATTTAGTACTGTATTTCCCTGAAAATAAGATCTAACCATGCACAGTCTTATTGCGCTGAAATAACCCAAGAGTAAATACAGTAAACAATGGTTTGTATTAAATGGTGGTTTATCTTACACTATCTGCAATATCATACACCAGGAACAATATACATACACGTGGTAATACAGCAAACTCCAACACACAGCAGTTACAGCAGGAAACGGACGAGAGAGAGAGACACTTCAACAAAGCCTCCCCTTTTATACTCAGGCTCTTAAAGGGACACAGATCCTGCTGAGTCATTCCCATCAATGCATCATCCACCTTACATTACATTACATCTTCTTATTACATAAGCTGTTTAACTGTTAAATTATTACCCTGACACTCTGCACCGCCACGGCTCCATAGTGGCAGGTAGTATACAAATAAACAAACTGGTCATAAGTCGAGGACTACCTGAACCTCTGGTTTAGACATTAATGTCGCAGCCCGATTGTGTTTGTATGCAAGGGTTCTCTTTCTCATCCCTCCCCGATTTCACTCCTAGCCTGTGACTGTGGATTTCGCCTGTGCGATGAAGTGACGGGACAGTGCATCTGCCCACCACGTACCGTTAGACCAGAGTGTGTGGTCTGTGAGCCCCAAACCTTTGGCTGTCACCCCCTGGTGGGCTGTGAGGACTGCAATTGTTCTAATTCTGGGATCCAGGATCACACCGAACCAGGGTGTAATATAGAGAGTGGACAATGCCAGTAAGTAGAGATCACGATATGAACCCTGTTTGTATGAATGCTAGAGCACCAGCTACATCTGGCCATCCTATATCACAGCCCACATCCTGCCCTTTGGCTTTCCCTGTGTGGCCCGCATGAGGTCAGTTGGAAGTTAGAAAATAACATGTAAATAAGTGCAGTGCAGAGGGCCGGAGAAGACGTTGGTCCGGCTCTGCTCAGTCACCATGTGTGCCTTCGGTCAGCTGGTTATAGAAAGCTGCTTATAAACCTTAAAAAAAAAAGATATAAAAAGATGCTGAGACTCTAGAAAGAGTGCAGAGAAGAGCAACAAAGATGATTAGGGGATTGAAGGCTAAAATATATGAAGAATGGTTGCAGGAATTGGGTTTGTCAATTCTAGTGGAAAGAAGGACTAGGGGTGACATGAGAGCAGTGTTCCTATATTTGAGGGGCTGCCAAAAAGAAGAGGGGGGTCAACCTATTCTCCAAAGCACCTGAAGGCAGAACAAAGAATAATGTGTGGAAACTAATCAAGGAGAGAAGCAACCTAGAACTAAGGAGAAATTTCCTAACAGTGAGAACAATTAACCAGTGGAACGGCTTGCCTGCAGAAGTTGTGGGTGCTCCAACACTGGAGGTTTTTAAGAAGAGATTGGACAACCACTTGTCTGGAATGGCATAGGGCAGGGGTCTTCAAACTTGGCCCTTTTATGACCTGTGGACTTCAACTCCCAGAATTCCTCAGCCAGCGTGCCTGGCTGAGGAATTCTGGGAGTTGAAGTCCACAGGTCATAAAAGGACCAAGTTTGAAGACCCCTGGTATAGGGTCTCTTGCTTGAGCAGGGGTTGGACTAGAAAACCTCCAAGGTCCCTTCCAACTCTGTTTTTCTGTTATTGTCTGTCACAACCTTTCCAACCGTAGTCCTTTGCACTGGCCATGTTAGCTCTTGACTTAAAAGCCAGCCATAATCACAAACAAAAGAATACAAAAGGTGACCATTTGTTCTTCCAGATGCAAGCCCAACATCGTAGGACGTCAATGTGATCTGTGTGCCCCAGGATATTATGGCTACCCCAACTGCAGGGCGTGTGACTGCCATGAAGCAGGGACAAAACCAAGCATCTGTGACCCGGTCACTGGAGAATGTCACTGCAAGGTTAGTCTGATCATTGTCTAAACTCAGTTTCTGGCTAGACCAGGGGTGTCAAACTCAATTTCATTGAGGGCCGCATCAGCATTGCGGTTGCCCTCGGGGGGGCGGGTGTGTGTGGCTAGGGTGGGTGTGGCCTACTGGGTGGGTGTGGATGGAGTGGGTGTGGCCTATTGAGTGGGCATGGCCAGTTCTACATCGTTCAATTCAAGGGTGCCTGTGGGGGCCTGGGCAGGAGTGGGACAGATCTGAGGGTCTCTGGCAGAAGGGGGTGGGACCGGGGCAAATGCCAAGGCATGGTCCACTGGAGGAGGCTCACTGCCTGCTGAAATCCCTCCATTGGAGCCCATCAAGCCGGATATGTGAAATAAGCGAGGGCCATTTGCTGGCCACTTCCAAGCGATGGTGCATTTCTTCATTCCTCACAAAGGGTGACACCTCCCCAGCATGCACCCAGAGAGCAGGGCCGACGTGACAGGGGCTGGTTCCTCACTGTTTCCAGATGGCCTTGTGGAGCTAAGACTGAATGCGTTTCAGCAGAGATGACCACCACAAAATTGTACATTGGCTCCTGGCCAACCTGAGCCAGGGCCAAGGCAGCGGGGGCCGTTCCCTCACTGTTTCCAGGATGGCTTCGCGGGACCACATGAAACCACTTCGCGGGCCGCATCCGGCCCCCGGGCCTTGTGTTTGATATGTCTAGGCTAGACTATTCTTTGAGGAGCGGTAAGAAACAGTTGCCGCAAAGGTGCTTTTTCAAGAGGCAACTGGACTTTTTTTTTTCTTTGAAGACGTTTCGCTTCTCATCCTAGAAGCTTCTTCTTCTGACTGGATGGTGGGGAATGGAAGGATTTATATTCTTTGCAGACAGCTGGTCATTTACATTCTTTTAGAAAGTCATTGAGGCCACTTGGAGGTTTATCTGTATCGTCAGGGTCGCCTGAGTAGTGCAAATGGGTGTGGAGACTTCTACTCAGGTGACCCTGAGGACACAGAAAACCTCCAAATGGCCTCAATGACTCTATAAAAGAATGCAAATGACCAGCTGTCTACAAAGAATATAAATCTTTCCATTCCCCACCATCCAGTCAGAGTTGAAGCAGCTTCTTGGATGGGAAGTGAAATGTCTTCAAAGAAAAACAAGAAAGTCCAGTTGCCTCATAAAAAAGCATCTTTGGGACAATGGTGACCTGGACGACTGAGAATCTCCATAGACATAAGAAATGGTGAGGCCAGCGCTGATGGTGCTTTCAGTTCTTCACAGCATCAACAGACATTTTCAAGACAAACTCTGCCAACATCATTTATTTTTAGAGTCAACAACAGTGTGCTCCATCGGGGGAAGGTTCTGTGCCTGAATGTCTAGTTCTAAGTCAGTGATGGCGAACCTTTTAGAGACCGAGTGCCCAAACTGCAACCCAAAACCCACTTATGTATCATCGGGTGCCGGGTGGGTGTGGCCATTGGCTGGGTGTGGCCCATTGGGTGGGCGTGGCTGCGGTGGGTGGGACTAAAAAGTTCAATCAATCAATTCCAACTTTGCAAGATCTTTTTTTCCCACGAGAAGTTGAAATTGACTGATTAATTGAACCTTTTTTTTTTTGCACACGTCGGCGAAGGCCTAAAGCGAAAAGGTTTTATAAAACCCAGCTGAAGGCCTAGGACTGGGACGACGGTGCACGTGCCCACAGAGAGGGCTCTGAGTGCCGCCTCTGGCACCCGTGCCATAGGTTCGCCACCACTGTTCTAAGTGTTACTCATGAGCACAAACCTACAATTCTTCAGAATCACTTCTTTAGGAGCAAAAACGGTGCAAGGTCTGTGGGACAAAACATATCAGGAGACATTGGAGGAACAGCCTGGAGGCCAGAAGGGGAAGAGGGGACTTGATTAAAACCTTTAAATATATTTTATTTAATATATATTAAGGGTGTGGATAAGGTTCTAGATCTAGAAGGAAGTATTTTCCATATTAAGCAAAAATCAAGAACACGAGGGCATAGCCTCAGACTGACAGGAAGTTCAAAAGTAATGTTAGAAAGTATGACTTGATAGAAAGAGTGGTGGGAGCTAGGAACCAACTTCCTGCAGAGATAGTGGGCCAGTCATCAGTAACTGAGTTTACACATGTTTAGAATAAATAGCACCATCATCTGAAAAAAATTAAAATAATAAAATAAAATAAAAACTCAAAAGGCAGAGTTGATGGACCACTTCAGTAGGTCTTTTTCTGTCATCAAGTTTTCTATGTTTCTAAAAACGGCTTTGCAAGAAAAAGCGTTGTCATGGAATGTGAGATTTGTGTATACCAGGGGTAGGCAACCTTGGCTCTTTTATGACTCGTGGACTTCAACTCCCAGAATTCCTGAGCCAGCCATGCTGAGGGGAAAGGGAGAGGTTTCCAAGCTGAGCCACGCTGGCTCAGGAATTCTGGGAGTTGAAGTCCACGAGTCATAAAAGAGCCAAGGTTGCCTACCCCTGGTGTATACAATGTCTTCAAAGGATACAAGGAATTTGTGGCCCTTCAGGTGTTCTTGAACATCTCTCCCTTCTGTTCAACCAGCATGGCGAGTCTTCTAAAACTTAAGGAGCTTCTCCCAGCAGTTAATCAGAACACACTTCAAGACTTCCTTCTTCTTTGAGCAAGCCAATGGGGGAAAATATATATATGGACCTACCTTATTTCTTTTTCAATCTCTAGGAAAATGTGGAAGGCCCAAGGTGTGATCAGTGCCATTTGGGGACCTTCTCCCTTGACGCCAGCAATCCGAAAGGCTGCACCAAGTGTTTCTGTTTTGGGGCAACCGATCGCTGCCACAGTGCCAAGAAGTACCGTGTGGAGGTAAATGAGTAGGTGAAAATATAGGGGTGACTGTCCGAGAAAAGAAGGATAAAAGAACCTCATGTTTAACATATAAAGGAAGGTGAAGAGTTGAAAGCCGAGTAAATCAAGGGAGGGAGCTGCTACACCAAGGGTAGTCAACCTTGGCTCTTTTATCACTCGTGGACTTCAACTCCCAGAATTCCTGAGCCAGCTAAGCTGGCTCAGGAATTCTGGGAATTGAAGTCCACGAGTCATAAAAGAGCCAAGGTTGACTACCCCTGTGCTACACAATATGAAAAAAGGAGATGGATCTATGAAGTCGTCTGTAGGTAGCACTCTGTTAAACGTTTTAACAATGCTATTAATATTTCACAGAATACTATCAATAGACCCTCATAGATTTTGCAGTGACCTGTTCAATTAATAGAAGAGGCACAGTGATCTAGTGGTTAAGGCGCTAGACTTCCCCGACCGGAAGGTTGGCAGTTCAAGACCCAAGTACTGCATGGCTGGGTGAGCTCACGCTCCAGCCCCAGGTCCTGCCAACCTAGCAGTTCAAAAGCATACAAAATGCAAGTAGATAAATAGCTACCACTTCGGTGGGAAGGTATCAGGTCTCTGCATATAGTCATGCCGGTCACATAAGCATGCAAGTGTCTCTGAACAACATTAGCTCTCTTGGCTAAGAAACAGAAATAAACACCACCACCTAGAATCAGACACAACTGGACAGGGGAAACTTTATCTTTTTATTCAATGTAATATTTGTTGTTGTTAGTTGCGAAGTCGTGTCCGACCCATCGCGACCCCATGGACAACGTTCCTCCAGGCCTTCCTGTCCTCCACCATCTTCTGGAGTCCATTTAAGCTCACGCCTACTGCTTCAGTGACTCCATCCAGCCACCTCCTTCTCTGTCGTCCCCTTCTTCTATTGCCCTCAATCTTTCCCAGCATCAGGCTCTTCTCCAGTGAGTCCTTCTTTCTCATTAGGTGGCCAAAGTACTTGAGTTTCAACTTCAGGATCTGGCCTTCTAAAGAGCAGTCAGGGTTGATCTCCTTTAGGACTGACCGGCTTGATCGCCTGGCAGTCCAGGGGACTCGCAGGAGTCTTCTCCAGCACCATAGTTCAAAGGCCTCCATTCTTTGGCGCTCAGCCTTTCTTATGGTCCGACTTTCACAGCCATACATTGCAACTGGGAAAACCATGGCCTTGACTATAGGTACTTTTGTTGGCAGGGTGATGTCTCTGCTTTTTAGTATGCTGCCTAGATTTGCCATAGCTTTCCTCCCCAGGAGCAAGCGTCTTTTAATTCCTTGGCTGCAGTCCCCATCTGTGGTGAACTTGGAGCCCAGGAAGATAAAATCTGTCACTACCTCCATTTCTTCCCCATCTAAATGTAATATTACTGCGCATCAATTCATAACAACCGTTCATTGTCAGTCTGTCTGCTCATCTGTGTCTCCATCTCCATCATGGTCCTGAGAGACTTGGGCTATTCTCTTGAACCTCAAAAGATGACCACAGGATTAACGTTGACAGAGAAAAGAACCTCAACCGTCCTATTTTAGAAGGAATGCCTCAAAAGCTTTAAAAGCTTCTGAGCCCCTTGACAAACCCGCATTTACTTATCGAGACCTGTGTCTTCCAGTTCACTGACATGAGTGGGTGGACTTTGCTGAGTGGAGACCGACAGGGAGTCCCCACTTCAGTCAGTTTGGAAGACGAGACTGTTCACGCTGATCTTCGGCAGTTTCCAGACGCTTTCCAGGAACTTTATTGGCACGCTCCCAGTTCTTACCTTGGAGATCAGGTAAGTGATTCCAGGGTGATATGCAATTTATGCCAAAGTATTTCGGTGTTTTAATGCTCAAAAGCCAAATTTCTAATATTTGAAATGACATTTAGATTCTTTAGAACCATAATTTTTTTCTTCTGGGTCAATTTACATGATGAAGAACCAGCTACGTAAAACCTTTGTGTTTAATTTTTGAAAAAAGTTTTTTTTAACACATTAATATTGTCACCATGAGATTTTATTAAACTTAATATGATGTTGCACGGCACGTTAAATCATGTACCAAGTGGGTGGCTATATCTGTCAAAAAGATAAAATAGACAAATGCTAAATTTTACTTCTGAAGCACATAAAAACCCATATCTTAGATTTTGGGTTTCACTAGATTTTCTGTGACTTTAAGATACTTAGGTTGTCAACTTCATTTAGTATAAGTCTAGAAATCCATTAAGTTTTCTGCTAAATTTGAAATAGATTGCATTCTTCTACATACAAATTCTTATTTAAAAATACTTGAGATGCTTCTGTCAAAAATAATTCTAAAAAGTATTTTTTTTTAAATTGTTGATATCAAGTGGTTATAAGCAGGCTGTTCAGTAAGAGAAAAACATAGGTCCAGGGTCAAGCATCTCCCTTTTTCTAAAGGGAGGAATATCACCAATTCAAGCAAACATTTCTTTGCTTTGAAGAGATATAAAACAGCCCTGCATCCCTTGTGGCACTTAATCTCTTTCTATTCATTCCATTATCTTACCGTCTTAATTTGAAAAAAGTACTTTTCCATCTGAAAAATGTCATTTAATTAAAATAGAATCCTTGATACAGAAAAGTTTTAAGTTAATTTGGTACTAGAACGTTAAATTGGGGGCTTGGGAACAATTTTTAAATCCTTGTGGGCAACATATTCTTGCTTTGAATACAGGTCTCCTCCTATGCTGGATATTTAAAGTATGAGTTGCATTCAGACATACAAAGGGGTGATGTGTTCATACCGATGGAATCCTGGGCTGACGTTATCCTCAAGGTATTATCTCCCATTCCTCTTGGTCTTTGAACTAAATGGCATCAGGTCCAACTGTGTTTTCTTTCATTCATATGTTTTTGGTCTTTTCCTAGGGAAACCAAATGAGTATTATGTTTGTTGAAGACTCCTATCCCACTCCTGGAGAAGTTTATAACGGAGAGCTTCAACTGCTAGAGGTCAGTTGAGATTTACAACCCCATGGAGAAGGTGAAAGATACTGGTCAAGGGGTTTTCGAATGATTTTAGAAGCTTATTTTGGATTAGATCCTATCTATTCAGGAAGGAGAACATAGCAGAGTGATGGCCTCAATCTCCAACCTTGTATAAGGTGGTCAAAAGCATACCGCTGTGCATGGTACTGAATATAGTGAAACGTACATAAAAAATTAAATTAATATATATATATGGTTCAGGGCTGATCATTCAGGAAGCAAATTACTGTTTCAGCATGATCTTTATGCTTAACAATCAATTCACATTAAAAGCTGTATAAACCTTTAATGGTGGAGGCTGTAGACTTAAACATAAAATAGACAATCAGCAGCTCAGGTTTGAAGATCTAGTTTTTTGCAGATTCAGTTAAGGAATGGCTTCCGTTGCAACCATATTGGATTCATCTATTTATCTTTCTAGTTATTCATCCTC